TCAAGAGGAGGCTGGACAAGCACCTCATTTTGCTCATTTGAGCCCATTTACCTCCTGCCCATGGCAGGGGACCAGACTTGAAGTTCTTACAGGTCCCTTTTGGTCCTTCTATTCTATGATTCTAAGGTATTCCAACAAGGTGTGATACAGATACTACACGCAATGCAATCCAGTTGCTACTTCCTGATCAAGAACTCACTTAAAATGTATTTTGGCAGAACACTGGGTTTTCGGTAGCCATGTTTGCCTAAGGACATAGGCAGGCAAGGTTCTTTGGGTAGATGCGATGACTTTTATGTGGCCAACTGAGTGGCGGGAAGAAAATTCTTAGCTAACTTTCGGGTACAATCACCCTTCGTCAGGCAGAGGGAGTCTGTGCTGGTCATCAGGCATAGGGAGTCTCTGACTAGCAGAGACTCCCTATGCCTGATGAAGAGTGACTGTGCCCGAAAGCTTGCTAAGAACTTTTTTCCGACTACTCAGTTGGTCTCATAAAAGATATCACGTCTACCCAAAGAACTTTGCCTGCCTTTTGGCAGAATATCATCTTAGTTCTCTCTCTCAGGCACATGTTAGATTTAGGCGAGAGTTTTAAGTTCTATATTACAAGTACAGGCAGTATTTAAAGGTTAAGTAGTCAAAGCTACTTCACAACTAAGGAAGGATTTGTTGGGCTTTTTTTAGTTTGTTTTGTTTTTGCATAACTGCTGACCACTTATTGTGTGCTGTGAAAGAGAAAATTATTGTTCTTCGTTATTGCACCCGAAGCACTGCAGCTATTGGATGTAAGTAAATCTGACTACTGTTTAAAAAAAATGCAGAAAAAAAGAAAGGGGTGAGGGGCAGAAAAAAACAAAGCAAACAAACCAACCCTGATCACTGACGTACTAAGAAGCTCCTTGACCTCTTAAAATCCTCACCTCCACTGCGAAGGAATTGTCTAGGACCAAGAGATTTTCCCCATTACTGTATATTTTCCCACCCTGGTGAGGTACTAAAGAGTGATAATCCAAGGGAATGTAGTGCCATTCACTCCTACTGATGAGCTAGAGCTCTCAACAGCTACAAGCTCATGTATTTGTAAACAGATATTATATACTACCCATATTCATATCAATTTGTTGGCAGTCATTTCTCCTGCCTTTTCTACTCACAATCTCTGAAAACTTTGATCAGTCTACACTCTGAACAAGCCAAAATAAGGAAAAAACACAAACTTGTGCTTTGTAACAGTTTCTTCCTCACCTGCTAGCAATTTGGGCATCAGGCTCCCTTTGTTCAGATAGGATGGCACAGCATTTCCTCTGCAGCATGTTCAATACAGCCTGCATGCCAGAAAATTCCAATTTCCTATTCTTGTCCTGTTGAGAACTAGTAGGAACTGGCACCGATTTAAGTTGGGACAAGTCAGATGCTGGTTTACCAGTGGTTTAACTAAACATATGGTTTACAATTACCTCATTCATTATGATCTGCTGCAACAGAGTTGTCTTTTTGGAACTTGCTTGTGTTCACACTGGCTTTGGTCTCTGAACAAAGCTGAAAGATTTACTCCAAGAAATCCAATGAAGAATACATTAGCCCCTTACTCGAACATTAAAGCTGCCATAATTTGAGACATTATCCAATACTCAGTCACTCACTACACCGGTTTTCTTAGGGTTGTTGCAGCACCCATTTAGTCATCTAGTTCACATACAACCCTAATATGCAGAAGTATAAACAGGCCTTTTAATCCTACCTAAATTTGTGTAGAAGAGGTATAGTTGCATTTAATGTTAATACTAAGAAAGAAGCACCAAAGTCTGTTTTAAACCCCTTCCCCGCTCCCTCCACAACACCTCACCCCATGCCAGGTTAGATACCTCTATAAATGTGGCTTTGCACATCCTGCATCCCCTAGATACAAATAGCCGGATAGTTAGAGAACTTTCCTAAGAAGCAACTCTGGCACACTGGCTTCCTCACTCTGTGGCAACTACATGTTTGAGGGTCCCAGTGACGAAGTATGCTTGTCTTGCATGTCGTGTAGTTAGAGACAGAGAAAGTCATGGGTTCAGGTCCTTGTCCCAAATGCTACTTATGCATTTTCTCCAACAATTTCTGAAAAAAGCAATGCATATGCAGTCCTTGAAACAGAACCCAAGCCTCTGTCCTTTCAGGGATGGCTATTATCACGGAGTTGGAGGCATTCTTGCCTACCCTGTAGCCCAGCTTCCAACAGGACTTGAAGTGCTTAAAGCACTCCACTAATAAAAACCAGGTTAGCTGGTTTTTCATTAGTCCACAGATGCCATTTTAAACTAAAACACGGCTTTCCATTTGCTCCCTACAAATGAAGGGAACACAGCTTTCCACATAGGGAAGTTCATTTGATAAATAAGCACCTGGTTATGTAACTGTCAGACTACAAGCTCCCTAATCTACAGAGGTGAGCTTCACCATTGTTGCATACCACCCTGACCCACTCAGAGATTCAGGATCTGGCAGCTTTTCTGGATTGGATGAATTCTTTTGGCCTTACAAGGGTTTGAGGAATCTCTTTCGTTTCACCTTGTCAATACCAGGGTATATTTTCTGCTATCAGCATACAAGTTTCTCCATCCGGTGCAGTCAGTCAGAAAAACCAGGAGACCCATGTTGGGGACAAGCTATATTTGAGGCCAGCATTTGGGGGTGTCACTACCATATTGCTGGCTTCTGGCGATTCACCAGGTCCAAGACCTTGTGTTTGGGAGGCTGGCAGTCCTGTACACTTCAGCAAGGTTTTGGGGTTCTTGTCATCCATGAGTCTTCATGGTCAAATAAGGATCAATGGTCTCTCCTGTCAATGAGAAGCTGGAGGATCTCCAATCAATGTCTTAATTAGACTGTCTGCCTGAGCGTCGGTTGGGTTGTGCTGTCTTCAGTCTTGATACACAGCCTAAGGCAGATATGGACAATTATTTGGGCCCAAGGGCCACATAGGCAGTTTTGATGAGCTGTCCTGGGCTGGGCTGATGACCAAATTCTTTAGGGACATAATGAAAGGACTTTAATGTCCTCTCCTCCTCCCCCAAGAACTCACCAGAACTCGTTCTGGGGCTGTCTTCAGGCAGAGAGCAGTGTTCAGGTGTGGGAGAAGCTGGAATCACATGCCCCTGCCCTCTGGGTGGGGAGGTGTGTGTGCATGCGTGAGTGCGGAGGGGGGCTGCCTGGACACTAGGTCCCACGAGTCTGCTGTGGGTGAAGGGGGGGATGGGGGGGTGGAGGGGCCTCGTCCAGCAGAGCTTGCCCAGGCAGTGCGCTCTGCACTGCCCCCACAGTGCTCTGCATGGGGCTGAGCTCCGCTCACTCACACTGGGGCAGCCTGCACCACACTCCCACCAGTGCCCATGGCCCAGCCAAGCGCTGCTCTGTGCCCCCTGCCTCCAGTGGCAACTCCTGCTCCTGGTCTTGCCCTTGCAGCACTGTGCCAAGTCATGTTGCTCCAGGCAAGCAGCTTCAACCAGGATCCTGCCCCTTCAGCCAGCCTCCTGCAAGGTGGCTGGGCACTGGGGCACTAGCCCAGCTGAAGCTGCTCACCTGCCTGCCTGCCTACCCAGAACAGCGTGATGTGGTACAGCACAGCAGGGACAGGAGAAACTTCTGACTGGCTGTTCCTGGTGCAGCTCTGCACCACCCATCTCCAACAGCAGCTCTTTCTCCTACTTCTGCCACACCACTCCTGGCAGGCATGTGGGGCTCCAGATCCCAGATGCCTTCCACCAGAAGGCAGCCATGAGCTGAAGGTGGAGCCCCGTGTGGTGGGGCAGGAGCCATCTGGCTGAAACTGCTTGCCCAGAGTGGCGTTGCACAGTACATCACTAAGTAGCACAGCAGGGACAAGATCAAATCCAGGAGCCACCACTGGAGGCAGGGAGTGCAGAACAGTACTCAGCTACACCAAAAACAGCCCCTCCAGAAGCCGCACGCAGGTTGGGACCTGGCCCAATGGGAGCCCAGTGCAGCGTGCCCTAACGCAACTGGGCAGAGCATGGCCCCATGCAGGGTGACTGGATGCCGTGGGCTGGATCCAGTCACCTGGCGGGCCAGATCTGGCATTCAGGCCGTATTTGGCCACCCCTGGGCTAAGGGACCAGATTTAGATTGTGACCGGCTACTTGAATTGAACCAGAAATAGTCTGTCTCAGTGAACAACTGAGCTTTTGGATTTTCACAGACTTGTTGATGAGCATGTTAAAGTCTCTCAGGATGAAACTTTAACTACAACACTGATGGCACTAACCTGTAAAGGAGCATGCAATCTGTTAGTCCCGAATCATTTCTGCTGTCATATGAATGAAGCTTGAATTTTCGTGCTCAAGGCACCTCCCTTGCATTGACTGTTTGATGAAAAGATGAACGCACCGCTGTCTGGCTTCTTATCCTACCTTGCCCTGCAATGAAGTAGTTATCCTGGAGGAACAAGTTGAGCTAGTAGAGAGTTCCCAGTTTCATCCAACAAGGTCTGACAATGCAGACTATGTTAGATGCTTCAGCACTGGTGTGGTCAAAGATTGTCTGCTGGCCGACCTTGCCTTGTCCCACAAGGATAAGTCATGTCACTTTGTGCGGCCTGCTTCTAGTCGGCATGTAGGCAATAGAATCCAATTTCCTTTGTATACTTTACATTTCCTTAGCAACATTACCTTTACATTTCCTTTCCTCCTGATTTGAACTCTGAGTTAATTGTGTGAGTGAAGGAACAGATGTCCAAATCTACAGAGGCCAGGAGAAAGGCAGATAAATTGGATCTGGTTTGGAGTATGTCGAGGTCTGGGAGCAGGTAGATTTGCAAGCCCAGTGGGATAGAAGCAATGGAAACAGAACAAACACTGAACAACCACCAGCAACAACAACAGGTAGAACGAAGCACGGGCCAATGGCATCAGGCATCCATTTACCTGAAATAATGTTGCCATGACACCCATGTTGCTCTTATCTGGCTCGGGAGAAAGAGAAAGGGAAGCAGCACTTACTTGTCACATCTGAGTTAGAGCCGGAAAGTAGCTTCTGAGCCAGCAACTAGTGGCAAGGCTGAAAGAAAAGAACTGAGACTGATACCTCTGTTATAGGTTTCTTTGGTTGCTTCATTCCTAGAAAGGATGAAACTGATCCAAAAGGGGAGGAGTCACAGCCCCACCGGGTCACAAAACCTCATTACTTGATGTGCAGAGGTGAAAGTGACTAGGAGCTGCTCCCAGACCAATTCCTGGGATGGTGCCCACAGGTATAACCAGATATGGGGCATGGGCCTTCAGTTAGCATACATAGAAAAGAAGCTCTTTAGAGAAGACCTTATAATCGAAAGCCATGCATCCTTAGTAATAAATTAAATCAGATAGTCAAAATGGAGGTGCGAAAAGTTCACTACTGCAACACGACCACATCCCATGAGACTACATTCAAACAGTTTTTGTAAGATTTGCTCAGCACGCTTTCAAGCAAACACTTTTAAAGTGAAGAAATCTAGCCTTACTACGGAAGTTTCTCCCCCTAGAGCTCTTACTCTGTCGCACACGTTTTACGTAGGGAACCCAAACAACTAAATTAATCCAGGGTGCTAAAAGGAATGTTCATGTAATGCCTTAAAAACATGTGTGTCATTCTCTTATGGCTGACAATGAGTTTTCTTATTGTACCTCTTTGCTTGGTTCTCAAAGCCAGACTGTGGTATTTAGACATAAGCCAGTGGGGTACACACCAGCTGGCACCAGCCTCCAGTAGGACACTGCTAACTGGGTTTCATCAGAAACACAGGCTAGCGCAGTCATATGCCCCCAACCCTCTCACCCCATCCTACAACAGCTCCTGGAAGAAATGGTATTTGACAACTTCTCTGCCACCCGGGACTCCCCAGGCTGGAGGGATCCCGTAGCTAGTTGGATCCAGCTACTTTTAGACACTGGGCTGCAATACAGGAAGAAACCCAGTGTCTGTAAGAAACTACAATGACATCAGCCAGGTTCTGTGAGCAGAACCAAAATCAGATGCGCTTTACAATTAGGGAAAGCTTTCTGGACTAGAAGACAAAACACCATTGAAAGCGTGTCACAACTGGATTAGAGGATGAAAGCCAGATACATGGAGCAAGACAGGAGAGAATATTTGGATTATCAAAACCAAGGAAAACCACAGAAGTACCATAAGATCTAACACCCAGCCAGAGCAAACAGAAGCTACCTCTAAGTGCAAATAAGAGTGCAAATGAAGTACAGTACAAAAAAAAGTGTGTGTATGGGGGGGGAAAAAATCACTGAAGGCAGGTATACAAGTCTGCCTTTCTATCAATTCATAGTTCAGAACAGACACCACCAAGTGTTGCTTTCCAAGCTTTGTTTACCCTACACTGTGCAGCATTTTAAAAAGACAAATCGATATTTTTAGGGGTTTTTTTTTTTAGCAAAGCAAGCTTCAGAATCGAAAGTTCGATGTATTGGTTAGAATACAAATGCACACCTTGAGACCAAAGGATGAGAAAGAGAAGAATACGCTTCTTAAAAAGCTGCATCTCTTCTCATCAGACCTTCTAGGTAAGGAGCACCGTAACTGCAGAACACGCTTAATATCTTTTCTCTTGCCTTTGCAGAGGAGGAGCCGACAGAAGTATCATTTCCACCATTCAGCCTTTGGCATTTGAGGCACACCAGTCAGGTTTTCTAAGCACCGTACACTTTTTTTTTAAAACCCGTCCTCATAACTCACTCCTTTTAATCCTGGGATTAGCCCTGCTGCCCTTCTCTGTACCTTTTCCAGTGCCGTAAATAAGGCAGGTCCATGCACGGAAGAAGACATTAAGTTAGAGCTTTCGTGGTGGACCAAGGCAGCTTTTTGTAGCCGGAGCAGTTAAATAAAACAACAACAAAGAATTAAAACATCCAGCCCCTGTAGGAAGCAGCAACGTTTCCAACCCATCATCCGCATGCAACTGAAGGAAAGAGGGAGAGACGTACCCAAACTTTGCCTTCCGTCCCACCCCTCTCCTTCAAGGAGGCAAAACAGGGGCAGCAAGAAGCCTGCCTAGAGCTGCTCAGTAAGCCTGGACCCACGCTGCTCTGACATGCCAGCGCCATATGCTCCCGGTTCAACAAATCCAAACATTTCTTCCCTTCCCCCCCCCCACTTCACGCACAGAGAGCACCGCTTCAGAGCCGCCTGCTGAATCAGCACTTGCCACCCCGCTTTAAATACAGACTTCTGCCCAGCTTTAAAAGAAAAGCGTTGGGAGGCTGGGATGGGTCGGATCCTGCCTCGGGCAGCCTAACCTCGCTGGGTCCCTTCAGCCCCGCTTCTCCAAGGCTCGGGGGGGAGGGGGAGAAAAAAGAAAAGAGGGGGGCGGCAAGGTTAGACAGACGAGCCCTCCCCGCCCGAGCCCGGGGCTGCAGCCCGTTCTCGATGGCAAGCCAGGGAGAGGCC